CAAATGTACAAACAACGCTTGGATAATTACATGCGTCCCCTCTCCTCTCTCCTCTCTCCAAGTCTGAACTCTAAAAAAAACCAGACATATATTGTAAAAAACAATGCTAAAAAAAAACCAGACATATATTGTAAAAAACAATGCTTCTCACTGTTTGCCAATACTATGTTAGATTAGTGGTAAATTTACACGTGCTAAATAGGGTTTTCAAAGGCATTGCCTATTATCCTCACCAAATAAACTGAAAAATAAACTGAAATATTATGCTATTCTTAAAAACATACAAATAAAAATAAACAATTCATCAAAAAATCTGAAAAAGCGTTCCTTGAAGGAGAGTTATTTGTCCATTCCATGTGACATATTAGAGGCCACGGGGGTGCCTTGATGATCTTCTGGTCACTTCGATCAGAAGATGCAGTAGGGGGGTATTCTCGGAGTCGGGCAGCCCTTGTTTGTCAAGCTGGACCAAAGTCCCCAAACTCGCCAGAGTCTTCTTTTTGAGATGATAGAGAAGAGTGTTGAGACCATCCAGACGGTAGCGTTTGAAACTGAGGGCGAGAAGAGCACTCCTTTTTGGGGGTGGAAAAATAGAATCGTAATAAATGGATACTATGAATTGTCTGTGGATACGAACAAATGCGAATGCCCGGAAGAAATTGAGAGGAAGTAGGAACGATTGCTTGTTGAAAGGTGACAATCCCATGGGCCGCGTTGCTCTCAGTCTATAAATAAGTGCAATAACCTTTTTAAACCATATTTGACTTGGAGGCAGAGTTTGGCTAAGGCAATTCGCCACTCAGAGAGCATACAGGCGAACGCATGTTCTAAAACCAGCGATAAAAAGTCAGATGGTCAAGCAATCACCACTCCAAAATCTAACACGGATGATGAAAGTTCAGCAGGTCGCGATACGCACACCGGACGTCGGACATCTAGAGCGCAAACGGGCAACTGTCCTCCATCAGGGAACCGTTAATTGTCATATGTGTGCAGTAGCATAGCGCCTGCATGGACTGCGATGGATTAGAGAAGGAACTCGAAACGCCCGGCGAATAAAGTTCTTGTGCGAGAAATCACACATGGTTCTTGTCAGTGGATTATCTGCCGAAAATGGGCGAAGGAAACAAGGCAGAGAGAGAGGATATAGCAGCGAACGGGAGTAGGTCGATTGCAGCTTTGAGAGAAAAGAAGAATGGATTGAACCAGTAACTTGACTACTACACTGTCTTTTGAACGGCTTGAAGCGCTGTGCGTAGGCTACAGAGTTGTAGTGAATAGCTCAAACGAAGTGCACTTGTGAACGCCTGTTATGACTAGCTCAAGTCGAAGTGTACTTTCTAAGGTCTTGCTGCTTCCGGCCTCTCTGACAGTCAATCACAGGCCGATTCACACAGTACCGCATGTGACTACTGCCGAGCAGATCTCACTTCAGAAGCCGTCCGCTGGCTTGCGGTTGTGCGGTCGTCTGGTAGGCAATTTCCTACTGCCTATTCTCCCATTTATTCTATACAGAATATACTCTTTCTACTACTCTGCCTTCCCACGACTTCTTTCTCTCATTTCCTAAGGAACCGGGCCTGGAAGATCGCAGCCATTAGGGTTAAACCTTCTTAGCCTTAGCACCACGAGGTAGAGTTACCTTTACCTACAGTATATATTACTTGCGTTGTGAAACATAATGACGGAATTAAAGGCGACTAAGTATCGGCAAGTAAAGGGTTGAGCATTGTATTTTTTTCACGCAACGTACTCCAGAAAATGTCCCTCTTGCATCCTTAATGTGTTTAGAGATAATTGTATCAGTCAAAGTGTTTACAAATTTGAGCGGAAGTCAACGAAATCTTGTACTCCGGCAGTTTTCTATGCTAATATTTATCCTAGGCTGAGCTTATGCACCGCAAGTGTTTTTCTCTGAGAAGAGATTAACTTAAATGTGTGCGTTTTTCCACACGAAACTTATTGCCTATCATAAAATAAATGTAATCAGAACATTATAAGCGCAAAATGTTTTTGCCAAGAAGATAATAGCTCCTCCACCACAACTACTACCACGGCCATACCACAACTCTTAGTATTAACAATAATACTATTGCTACAACTACTAATAATACTAATACTGCTATTACAACTACTACAAAGTTTACTACTACCGCTATTAGCACTTCTAATGTTCCCAATATCACAAAGTCTAATACTACCACTAATACCACTAAAATTACTGTTGCTACAATTACTACTGCTAGTACCACCACTACTACTACTACCATCCCTTCTTATACTAATACTACTAACATTAATGCTACTAATACTACTACAGATACTGCTACTACTAATATTACAGCTACTGTTACTAATTTTACTACTTCTACTACTAAATTTGTTAATATTGCTACTATTATTACTACAACAACTACTAGTATTAATATCCCGCGCAAGTCAAAACCTCGAAAGCACTCCGCCTTCTCCTCCCCACTCCATTACCAGTATCCTTTATAAAATTAACTGTGCTACCGGAAGATCAGTGTTTAATTCTGACATATTTAATTTGCTTACCTGCGCCAAGAATCTGTTGCCTTGCTCTTGTTATGTTGAAGCATCACGTATTTGGCCTCTCCTGGGTGCGGCCTAATCACCGGCAGCCCGATGAACATGAGCCTACCGTGAGTGGAGGGCAAAAAACAAATTAAAATCGGCGTTTTTTTCGAAACCAACTTAAGACAAATCACAGTCGGCAAAACTGTCCTGTAGGGCCCCCTAAATATCTTTTCCCCCACCCAAATGTCTAATCTATTTGGTGGTCAGACATTTAATTCTTGGAAAGTGAGTGTAAATGAATATTTACTTGTTGTGGAAGTGATCAAAAATATTGAATTACAGAAAATTATATTTGTTTCAATGTACTAAGTAGAAAAAAATCCATCAAAATAAATTCCTTTTGCTCAGGCAACTGATGCCTATTGAGGGAAATTCAGCCCTATATTGGCGAAATGTAACGAAAAAAGAAAATTCGGGCTACTGAAAATTTAAAAGTAGGTTATTGTTATAAATCGAAGACAAAGGGGACTTCTAAGGACAGTCCTGCCTCACAGTCAAGAGGAGTATTCAGGAAGTCTTACCGTTGGAAACAGAAAGCAAACATTTTTAATTTGATAAAATTATGAGCATGTTGCTGACACAAGCGCAAATGCGAACCGCAAGAAGTAATTGAAAAGAAGTAGACGCGATCACTGGAACAAGAAAGTTATTTGCCGGACGTTTCGGATACCAGTTCGAACTTATCTTGAGAGACAGCATCAGCTACGGATACCGGGGTGCACAGTTGCTTGCAGGATGCAATCAACAGGCTACTGTATACCTATAAAAAATTAACTGCGCCCGACTCATGGAAGCTGTTTGCCCTCTGGTGTGCTAAGTGCTTGATGGCTGGCATGCGGATCGTTGCCTGCTTAAATGGCATAACCCGTATTGGATGTTGGCGTTGTGATTGCTCGACCGCTTGTGTTAGGAGTCGCCTTAATAGACGCGCGAGCAGGCAGTCCTCAGAAGTTGCGTTCACGGCAGGCTATCGATCCGCATACACGTTAGCTGGCAATCCATCAATAACTTAAAGTTTAAAGCTGCGGCTAGGCTGGGACTCTGACAAGCCAATCAAGTCGCCATTCGTTCGAGGACAGTATCTGATTGGTCCAACGGACATGGCTGCGCATGACCATGAATGTGTTATTATCACCTATGCTTAAGGATTCCCGAGGGAATCCGAAACGTCAGGCAAAAAAAACTCTTGTTCCAGCGATCGCATCTTCGTCTTCTAAACGCGTTTGTTTACTTGAAATATATTGTACTAAATATTCTAAAAGACGTCTGCTTTTGCACTTCTTCTTATTGCGTTCTTTCATGGGGGTTCCATCAAGGCGACAGCTCGGCCTCAGCAATAATTACAACAACTTGGTTCACCGACATTGGCACCTGCACCCTCCCCAAATTGCGGATTACTGAAGATGTCTTCGAGATGGAAGCTGAAGGGTCAATTAAATAAAATTCTTGCCCCAGTGACCGCATCTACTTCTTTTCAACAGAACGTCATTGGCTTAACTTCTGTTTTGGCATACAGGCTTATAACAATGGATCAAATATTTTTGTTGTTCGATTGACCAGATTGTGAAAAATTCGCGGCCTCGGTGGGAAACAAGCTTTTGCGCAGTCAACGCTCTACCATCTAAGTTACGAGGCTCGCCGTGCGCCATGAATTTAATCACACTTGGGTCGATTTGCTTACAGAACGTTACTGTACGTGTGGACTCCACCAATACGGACACAGTACGCTGACTGCCAGGCAGGATTTCCTAAGTACTCATCTGGCATCCACTGGACGGACTGCTAGGCTAACCTTGGATGTTAGGGATTTGGCTGATTTCAATAATTCGATTGCCCCAATTGTGAGAAATTCACAGCCTCGGTGGGAGTCGAACCCACAAAGCAAGGAAGGCAACGCTCCACCATTTGAGCTACGAGGCTCACTGTGCGCCGTGAACTTAATCATAATCATATTTTTGTTTTTATGTGGTAATGTGTAACAGTGGCAATAGTATGGTCTGAGTCAGGATACTAAAAAACGTCTTGAATGCATTTTCGCGGGAAAATTATAATACAAAACGGGTTTCATCCTATTCGGCATTTAAATCTTTTTCTTTGTTCATGATCAATAATATAAGAACAGATGGAGAACTAAGCGCCAATTAAATCTAGGTGAGCATTCAGGTATAGCGTATCGTATCCGGCACCTTAAAGATATGGTACAGACTGGACGAATGTCCGGATCGCGCATACACGAACATAAGCGCGCTGAGTGATGAGATGACAGATTATCAAAATCGGCTGACTACACCTACGAAACAGGCCATGAAGTTTATTGTGCAGCAACGTAGATAATCGCCCTAGCCAGAAGCAAGACAAGTCGGGAATTGCTTGAAACCTGGGCTTGCGATTATCACTCAAAAATTGATATATCGATCTGATGCCGGCGTGCCCTCTGGACTGGTGTTACTGGTGTTTGATTAGCCTCTATCTCCTATAACTGTTGCCTGCTTGAGTGCCGCTTTTATCTCTAACTTCTGTACGAGTTGGAGAGCTCAACTGACTAGATAAATAAATAATTCGGGCGATGAAACAGTCTTCTCCTTCTCTAATTATACCTACACACGGAATGCATAATGTCGTCTTGATTCGGGAGCATTTTCACCTTGTCTTAGCGATGAAGGTTTACAATCTCACACACAACACTGAATAGCAAGTTCTCACTGAACAGTTTTCAGTAACAAGGCTACAGGGGACCACGAATTTCCTCTTGTTTGTGAAAAGTCAATGGGCGCGGGATCTGCACCCCCTGAAAAACGAACCCTGAACCAATGGATTGACAAACCACGCCCTTACTAGTTGCAAATTGCCAGCGAAGACAAGGGAGACTAGAATTGCCATTTTGGACTCACTGGCCGTCACCAGCCAGTCCAACCCAACCCCATGTGGTGCCCACACCCGGGGTTCGAACCCGCGACCTTTTGATCAGAAGTCCAACGCTCTAACCATTGAGTCACGGGCTCCTTGTCTTACCACTTTAGATTGGAAGATATTGATGTTCTTTGATAAACGCTCACCGATCGATAATATTGACATTTCATGATGAATGATAAGTGCTTACCGTTACACGATACCTCGCCAAAGATTACACCGCGGTCAAGCACTCGGCACGGG